TAAAATTCAATTTCGCATGTGTATTTTAAAAAAATAAAATGAAATTTACTTTAGCAATTTTTATACTTCAAAAAAAAAATTTCTAACCTTCAGTTGGGTGATATCCTTAATTCACAAGATAAACATATAACATGTTTATTAACAATGATTAATTCAACTAATAGATGAAGTTGAATCTAAATTTTGTTTAGATAGTGGAAAGTTGACTATAAGTGTAAACACTCATGGATGGTGAATCTCTACATGGTGTGCATAAATTATATTTCTTCATTCCAAATAATTGAATTTTGTCAGGTTTGAACATAAAGAAAATTTAGAAATATTTTTATTCATTACAAAAAAAGTACACAAGTTCAGTTTAAATAATTTTTAAATAAATACTTATAAATATACAAATAAATAACTTTTTTCACATAAATTTAAATTAACTTATGTTCCTTCCTAGAGAAACAACTGTCTTCAAACCTCTGATCAGACGTCCTTCTGCTGATTTGCTGATAGGGAGAATACCTGCAAAAGGTACTCCGATGATAAAGTCAGGATTCGGTTCTGAGCAATAAATGTTATTTAATGATCAGAAGTCAATCACTTACCTGTATTTCTTATCTTCTTTTTATAGACATTCTATTGGGCTAATGGGCCTGAGTCAATTTTTATATTTGAGGTCCATTGTATTTTTGATTATCTTTAATTGGATTATTTACCTTTTAATCCTGACGAGGGGTACCGGCCTAGTATGCCGAGTAGGTATTCGATTTCTTTTTACTGATGGTGGAACCGAGTTGATTCCTTTCCCAGTACACTAGCCCCACAAGCCCGGCGAGTTGCGAAGCAAGGGCTTAAAAATAGAGATGGTAATATTAGAATAGGTATTCGGTTGGAGTGCTTTTTATTGTACTGAGGGGGTCATCGTGGGGGTGTCCGGTCTCGATTGATGGTAATGTTTGATGTATTAATTTTTACACAGAGGAGTAGTCGGTTTAGTAACAACACGGTATAGGCCGAGATTATAAATAATAAATTTGCGAAGGAATATTCTAGAATGTTGGTTTTGAGGATTTGTCAGAGGGTATGTGAAGCGAAGGGGTGCTCCATCTCCTCCGTTGATCTGGAAGGGATCTGATGGTTTGAAACGAAAGGGCGTCTTTTCGTTTGCCTGATATCAGTCCCTTATAAATATGTGGTGGTCCCTGCATCCCTTTCTTACTCTTTTGCTCTGTGCTGAACCCTGCATACCTTTGCTCCAAACCGACGAGTGTTCAGAGATCCTAGGCTTTTCTTCCCTACCGACTACTAGTAAGGTGCGTTTCATTTTTTCTTTACTTCTTTTCTATCATGGCTGATCGTATTGAGTGGGAGGATTCCCTGTCGAATGCCTCGGGATCGAGTACCATTGAGGTTGATATTATAAATGGAACCGAAGGGAGTGGCGAAGTTTCGTCTATTTCAAACCGGAGGACTGAAGAGGCACAGGTAGTAGCGAAACCGAGACGTCATCGTCAAGTGATACTGACGCTCCTGAACCCCTTCCTAGCACTAGTCCTCCTCGGGAAAGGCAGGTGTTTCCTCCTTGCACGGTGCCTGGTTATGAGTGGGTGCACGGTGAAGTGGCCGCCTACTTTTCTCGTTTCAAAAGAAATAAAAGTCTTCAATTTTTTGTAGATAATTGTGATATTTCTTTATGGGAGGCTTGTGACCCGTATCCTATACACCTTGACCCCTGTCAAGGGGACGAGGGTGAGAACCCAGATTTTGTTTTCCTGGGAGGTGTCGGAATGGCCGACACCTTCTTTATGTATGAGTACATGTTTAGGGAATTAGGTATCAGACTCCCTTTTGACGATTTCCAAATGGGGGTTTTGAGGGTATTGAATGTAGCGCCAACACAACTACATCCGAACGGGTGGGCGGCAATTCAAGCCTTTAGAATACTTTGTAAATTCCATTATATAGAGCCTAGTGTAGGTCTTTTTCTTCATTTTTTTTGTACGCGTCCATCTGACCTGGCGAGGTGGGTCTCTCTAATAAGGCAACCCGAGTTGCCCCTATTTAAGCCATATGCATCGTCTTTTAAGGGTTTCAAGACCAGTTTCTTCAAGGTAACCGTGGACCCTGTAGGTAAAAATTATTTTTTTGATAGCGAGGACAAACCCCTATTCCCTTTTCACTGGACTCGGGTGTCGCGCTGATACGACACATATCCTGAGGATATGTTATCGGCTAGGGAGCTATCGGATTTGTAATTCTTGAAGCCCCTTCCCCGGTACATTCCTGCCCGACATGTAGTCCTCGTCCTCAAGTCTCCGCGTCCTCGGTGGGATATGGAGGGTATGTGTTATTTCGTTTCTGACTTGTATTTGGAATTGAGCTATATTGATTTGACTTGCTATTGTTAATGCAGGTTTAATGGCTCAACGAGGTGTGGATGTGCCGACCTTCCGGCGTACTTTGAAGCAGAGAATGCCCGAAGGGACGCCCGTTGAGGAGCATCGTCATCCTCAAATCGACCAACTTCCCGAGGTGCCAGAACCTCGCCCTCCTCCCCAAGACTTTGTTCCAGCCGAAGGCCCTTCCAAGAAACGTAAGGACAAGGGCAAAGGCAAGGAGCCCGAAAGGGAAAGGAAGAGACGACATGCCCACTCGGGTGAGCCTGGCGGCGTTCAATGGGCTCGGAGTCAGACCCGAGTGGTAGCTGCTGGGGAGGGAAGCAGTTCTTCTCCCGTAGTTCCCTTGGACATGCTGGCCGAGGGCTTATTGGTAAGCGGGACACATGCCGGTCGGCTCGCTGCTCCAAACCTGTTATCTGATGCAGGGAAGGAACTGGTTGGCGGTTTGGACTATGAGTCACTATGGCGCTACTACGCGGAACTTCATGTACAGTCCACCGCAATGCTCCGAAGGCTGGTTGTGGATCCTATTCTCGAAGTTAAGAAGTTAAAGGCTGCCTATTCGGTTTCTGAAGAGGCTTTGGCCGAGAGTAGAGAGATTCAAGCTAGCCTGGACGAGATCGTTCAATCCCTGCAGGGTCAGGTTAACCAATACAAAGACCACTTTCAAATAATGGAGGACCGAGTACATGCAGCCGAGGAGGTGGCGAGGGTCCGGGGGGAGGAGATAGAGGCGTTAAAGGCAAAGTCCTGTCAAATGGAGGAGGCTTTACAGGCCAAATCTGCCGAGATGGAAGAAGCCTTGGCGCTGGAGAGGCAAAAGGCTGAAACCGAGATGAGAAACTTTGCTGAGAAGTGTTCTCAGCAAGTATCTTACGAGCATGAAGCCGGTTTTAACCATGCTATTCGCCAGTGTCATGGGTTCTGCCAAGTACCGGTAGACTTTCATTTTGACATTACAAGGGACTTTTTTGGCGGGAGGTTCATTCCTTACACCGAGGTTGAGGATGATGTAGAACCCAACGTCGAAGTGCCGAGACGCCTCCCTGAGGTTACTGCCAACCCTGAGGTAGCCGCTCCCGAGGCAGTGGAAAGAATAGAAAGTTAAATTATTCGCCCTTTGTATTCATGGGTCATTAGTGCCCACATTTTGTAACCAGTTATTTTGACATAGAATTTTGTCCTTTTTTCTCATGCTTTGTATTTTGTCACACAACTTGCCTTAATATATACGATATGCTTAATATACTCATCCTTAGCCAAATAACTTGCATACGATATACACTTAATATACTCATCTTTAGCCGAGTAGGGGACGAGGGAGATGATCTCGTTTTAAAAATTCAGCTTTAACCAAATGGTAACTAAGAAGAACTCGTAATTCGTTAATTTGACCGAGCGGGAGTATTCGGGATTGAGGTATTTCGACCTTTAGTCAAGAGATGCTTGGAAGGAAAATAATTCACGCTTGACCGAGTGGGGTACTCGGGAGGGAAATATAATTGCTGCATCCTTGACCGAGTGGGGTACTCGGGAGGGAAATAATTCAACCTTGGCCAAGTGAAACTTGGGAGGGAAATATATTATTTCATCCTTGACCGAGTAAGGGTACTCGGGAGGGAAATATAATTGCTGCATCCTTGACCGAGTGGGGTACTCGGGAGGGAAATATAATTGTTGCATCCTTGACCGAGTAGGGTACTCGGGAGGGAAATAATTCAACCTTGGCCAAGTGAAACTTGGGAGGGAAATATATTATTTCATCCTTGACCGAGTGAGGGTACTCAGGAGGGAAATATAATTGCTGCATCCTTGACCGAGTGGGGTACTCGGGAGGGAAACAATTCAACCTTGGCCAAGTGAAACTTGGGAGGGAATGGTGCTTGAAAGGTGTGTAGTGCGTAAAAAACCGTATAGGTGAAGAAAAAAAAAATTTATTGATTAGGTGCCTCGTTAAAAACCTTCTCAGGAAAACCCTTTTTTACTTTCTTTTAAGAGGATAAAACCTGGGATAGGAAAAGAGTACACCTGTGCACGTATTACAAGGTTTTAGCTATAATAATGCTTTAAATGAGTGACATTCCAGGTTCTTGGTATTAATTTTCCTGCCAAGGTTTCCAATTTGTATGCTCCGTTATTTAATCTTACCGCTACCCGAAAGGGGCCTTCCCAGTTGGCGGCCAACTTCCCTTCTTGTCGATCCTTGCGCGCGTCCCCGGTTACTCGCCATACCAGGTCGTTTTTGTAGAATTGTCGTGGACTTATTTTGGAGTTGAATTTTCTAGCCATCATTCTTTTACTAGCCTCGGTCATGATGGCAGCTTGGTCACGGATCTCATCTATCAAGTCCAGGTTGACGACCAGAGCCTCTTCATTGGCCGATTCCTTGAAATTCTTTCTCCTGAATGACGACTCTCCAATTTCTACCGGCACCATGGCATCAATACCATAGGTAAGCCGAAAGGGGGTTTCTTTTGTTGTGGTCTGCGGCGTGCACCGATAGGCCCATAATATCTCAGGCAGCTTCTCTGCCCACTCTCCTTTTGCCGAACCTAACCTCATTTTTAATTCATGCAAGATCACTTTGTTTGCAGCCTCGGCTTGGCCATTCGTCTATGGATGTTCAACAGATGTAACTCTATGTTTGATATGCAGGCCTGCCAAGAACTCGTTGAATCGCCGATTTGCAAACTGAAGCCCATTATCTGTAATTAGTGCATGAGGGAGACCGAACCGTGTTATGATGTTTTTCCAAGTGAATTTTTGTACGTTATGGGCCGTGATCGATGCTAGGGGTTCGGCCTCAATCCATTTGGTAAAGTAGTCCACGGCGACGAGGAGAAATTTACATTGCCCTTTTGCTAAGGGAAAAGGACCGAGGAGGTCCATTCCCCAAATAGCGAAGGGCCAAGGAGCGCTAATGTGCCGAAGGGTATCGGCGTGTTGGCGCAGGTGAGGGCCGTGTTGTTGACAGGGAATGCATCTTTTTACAAACAACTGACAGTCTTGAGTTATTGTTGGCCAGTAGTATCCGGCCCTGAGCACTTTGGCTGCCATAGTTCGTCCGCCCGAATGGGTTCCACAAATACTTTCATGGATTTCTCTCATCACGTACTTAGCTTGATCGTCTTCTAGGCATTTAAGCATGGGGGTAGAAATTCCTCTTCGATACAATTCTTTGCCGAGAAGAAGGTATTTGGCTGCATGTGCTTTAATCTTCCTAGTTGCTGCTGCGTCCTGCGGGAGACTGCCATCAGTGAGGTATCGGACAAGAGGGGTCATCCAATTATGAGACGAATTTTCTATGTCCATGCATTCTTGCTTGGTGATACTAGGTTGGGGGATTTGTTGGTGAACCATGCTCTGCAGCTGCCCTGGTTTCCGTTGGCTAGCCAGCCTAGCTAGCCTGTTGGCTCGTGCGTTCATGTTTTGGGGTGTGTACCGAATGCATACCTCCTCAAACTCGGTTTTTATTTTCTTAACCTCCTGGTAATATTTAAGCATGACCGAGTCCCTGATCTGATAGATATCGTTCACTTGTTCGGTTACAATTTTTGAATCACTCCAAGCAGTAATGCGTTTAACTCCCATTTCCCTTGCTAGCCTGAGACCGGCAAGTAAAGCTTCATATTCGGCTTGATTGTTGGATGCCTTAAATCCGAACCGGATAGACTGTTCAATGGCGAACGCATTCGGTCCTTCAAGAATGACCCCCGCTCCACTGCCTGATTGATTTGATGATCCATCAACGTGCAGGTTCCACATGTCTGAAATGGTATTATGTTGTGTCGTAAACTTGTTGATGAAGTCGGCTAGCAGCTGGGCTTTAAGGGGGCATCGGTTCTCGAAATGGATGTCATATTGGGATAATTCAATTGTCCATGTCACCAACCGACCAGCCAATTCTGGTTTTCTCAAAATTTTGGCCATCGGACAATCTGTACGGACTATCATTCAATGGCTCTGGAAGTAGTGTCTTAACCGACGAGCTGTGTGGACTAAGGCAAGTACCACTTTCTCTACTAACTGGTACCGAGATTCAGGACCCTGAAGTGTCCTGCTAACGAAATATACGGGGTTCGGTTTCAGGTGTTTCTTGAAGTAAAACCGAACTGACGGCGTGATCGGACACGGACAAATAAACAATCATTTCCAGATTCGGTATTGGTTTAATCAACGCAGGTGGTGCTACCAGCATATGCTTGTATTGTACAAAGGCGTCCTCACATTCATTGGACTACGCAAATTTTTGCGATTTCTTCAATAATTCAATGAAAGGCCGAGACCTTTCTGCCATTATTGGCAAGAATCTAGCCAGGGCTGCAATCCGCCCGGTCAGTCGTTGCACGTCCTTGACATTGCGAGGGCTGGCCATGTCGATGATGGCTTTACATTTGTCGGGATTTGCCTCAATCCCCCTTTTGGACAACATGAAGCCCAGGAATTTACCGCCAGCTACACCAAATGTACATTTTTCAGGATTGAACCTCATACCATGTTTTCTGGCTTCTCCGAATACCTCCTCTAAGTGGTCAAGATGTTGCTTTAATGCAAGGGATTTAATTACCATGTCGTCTACATACACCTCCATGCATTTACCCACTTGTTTTTCAAAAATTTTGTTCATAAGTCGCTAGTATGTTGCTCCTGCATTCTTCAACCCGAACGGCATCACCCGATAACAGAAATTTGCAGAATTTGTGATGAATGCTGTTTTTTCCTCATCCGGGGGGTACATTCGTATTTGATTGTACCCAGAATAAGCATCCAAAAAGCTCAGCATTTTGTGACCGGAAGCACCATCAACCAAGGTGTCAATGTTTGGTAGGGGGTATGCATCCTTTGGGCATGCTTTATTGAGGTCCGTGCACATTCGCCACTTGCCATTGGCTTTTTTGACCATGACAATGTTGGCTAACCATGTTGAATACCTGACCTCTCGGATGAAGCCAGCCTGTATTAGTTTGCTGGTTTCTTCTCTTACCGCCTTTGCTCTATCACCACCAATTTTTCTCCTCTTTTGAGCTACCGACTTGGCTCCTCTTTTGGAGAACGGCTTTCTCTTGTTCGTTCAAACCGATCCCTAAATACGCAACTTGTTCTGGCCTTGTTCCTAGTTGGAAAGATTGTTTGTTTTCATTGGGCTCGACTCGATATTCCTCATCCACTCTAGGATCGAGTTCAACATCCAACTCTTCTTCCAACCGAGGGGATACAATATTGACATCCCGGGTATTCCCCTGAAAGGGTTTAAGGCGTAAACTTGCGAAGTAACATTCCCTGGCTGTTTTTTGATCGGTATGGACGGTAACAATTCGGCCTCTTTTAGACAGAAATTTCATAGCCAAGTGCGGAGTGGAAACTATGGCCTTCAATTTGTTCAGGGACGATCTACCGAGTAGTATATTATAAGATGTGTTCGCATGTACTACAAGATAAGTGACTCTTATGCGTTTGCCCTCGTACTCTGATCCAAAGGACGTATACAAGTCGATACACCCCTTGGTCTCTACTCGTTCCCCGGAAAAACCGACCAACGGCTCATGATATTCCTTGAGTTCTTGTTCTGAGATGCCTAATTGCTTGAATGTATTCCAGTATAGGATATCAGCCGAGCTCCCTTGGTCTATTAGCGTTTTTCGGACAGTGCAGTTAAGAATGTCTACACTAATTACCATGGGATCATCCTGTACCGGATCAACTCCCTGAAATTTTTCGTCAGTGAACGTAATAGGCGGGATCCGAATCTTGCTACCCAATGAAACATTATTCACAGAACGGACATTCCGAAGATGCCTCTTTCTAGCCGAATGGGTAGGTCCTCCACCAGCGAACCCTCCGGCTATGGTGTTAATGACCGTCTTCGGATATTTATCTTGTTCATATCTTCTAGGTGGGGGCTCCCTGGACCTGCTCCTGTGCCGTTCAAATTATTTGTCGTCGAATCTCTTTGGTGAATCGGGGTAGCGGTCTCTTCCTTTGTTGTATTGCCTTGTGGGATCTGTCTGTACAAAAATTTTCAGGTGTCCACCTTTAATCAATTCTTCAATTTTGTCTCTTAGCGCCGTACACTCCTCGGTAGTGTGACCCCTGTTCTGATGGTACCGGCAAGACTTGCTTTTATCTGCCCGAGGAGGAGTGTTAGCGCGTCTAGGCATTCTCAATATTTCTGTGACCAACACTTGATCAAGTATTCTGGACTGATTAGAGTTGAGCGTCGTGTAGGAGGGATACTTCGGTCCTCGAGGTGGTCGCTCAAGTTCCTTTCCTCTGTCGTTCCCCCGCCTTGTTTTAAAGGTTTCCATTCTTTCTTCATTTTTTGAGTTAGGTCCTTGTTCCATCCGTACCTGGCTCCGGTATTCGGATAATTCTTCCATTTGCATATATTTCGCAGCCCGGCTCCTTAACTCATCTAGGTCGATCGGGGTTTTTTTGCAGAGGCTATTAACGAAGGGTCCCGGTTTCAACGCTGTTGTTAGGGGGTGCATAGCCACTGCTGGTTCCAAATTATGAATTGAAAGAGTCACTTTGCCAAAGCGTTCCATGAACGCTCTAAGTGATTCTCCTTTCTCTTGGCGAATATTGACTAGGGCCAAGGATGTTAGTGGATAGGGCCGGCTTGTGGCGAACTGCAAGTTGAAACGTCTTGTGAGAGTTGCGAACGAGTCCACGGAGAGGGGGGGGAGTCGGGTGAACCAACTAAGTGCAGGTCCTCGAAGTGAAGTAGGAAAGATTTTGCACCATAAGGCGTCGCTTTCTGTGTACAGACCGACCTGCGTTGTAAAGATGTCCACATGTTCTCCAGGGTCGGATGTGCCATCGTATTTGTCTATTACCAACCCTCTCCAATTATCAGGTAGCTTGGCTTCTAGAATGCGATGAATGAACAGGCTCCGGTTCACAAGTTCGTCTCGGTCATTTTCGGTTACCGATTGATATATCTGTCTTGATTTTTCTTGCAGCGCTGATGATTCTCCTTGATCTTGGACGACGGGGGTAGTAAGGGAGGGGACGTGTGTCCTTATTTCCTCCCTTAGGCCGACATTTTCCCTTCGTAGGGCTGAGAGTTCCAGCGCATCTCTTTTGCGATTCTTCTTCATCTCCACCATTTCTGCCCTTAGCTGCCTCAGTACAGCTAGGATGCTTTCTTCCGTTCCTCCCTGTATCACTACTTCCAGTACTAGTTCCTCTGGCGTGACGCCCTCCATTTGTTGCCTAGAAGTCCCTTCTTGCTGGCTTCTCGTCATTACCATGCTTAATCCTGAGTGATGAAGTTGATCGGGCCCCACGGTGGGCGCCAAAATGTTCCTTCCTAGAGAAACAACTGTCTTCAAACCTTTGATCAGGCATCCTTCTGCTGATTTGCTGATAGGGAGAATACCTGCAAAAGGCACTCCGATGATAAAGTCAGGATTCGGTTCTGAGCAATAAATGTTATTTAATGATCAGAAGTCAACCACTTACCTGTATTTCTTATCTTCTTTTTATAGACATTCTATTGGACTAATGGGCCTGAGTCAATTTTTATATTTGAGGCCCATAGTATTTTTGATTATCTTTAATTGGATTATTTACCTTTTAATCCTGACGAGGGGTACCGGCCTAGTATGCCGAGTAGGTATTCGGTTTCTTTTTGCTGATGGTGGAACCGAGTTGATTCCTTTCCCAGTACAACTTATATGTTTCAACTTTGGTGAGTATATTGCCACTCTATTTAAAAAAATTTATATAAAACAAATTGTTATCTATTAATTAAATTTATAATGATAATATTTATATAAAAAAATCTTAAATGAGATATGATAACAGAATTCTTATAAGTACTAATTATTAAGAAGATGATCTAAATTAAACCTTGGTAATGTAAATTTAGTTGGTTAACACATTTTTAACTTAAACCAAAGGCAAGAGACACTAAATGACAAAAAAATAAAATGTCCAAAGGCGATTGTCTCTGAAAGAGTTTGACTGGCGTTACTAAGTTTTGATTCTGAAGATACACTGTTCTTGCTTTTGTGGCATGATAGTAATGTAACCGATCATAAATTCAATATTAGGGTAAAGAATAATTGTCTTCTGAATAATTCGAGTTAAAATTATTTCACTTCTCGGTATTTTAAAATTTGACACTTTTCAACTTTTATTTAGGCTAAAAGACGCTTGGAGCCATAAAATTTGAAACTCTATCCTTTATAATTTGACTCAAAATCAGTTTATTCCCTATTATGAAGTTGACATTTACCTCTTTGCTTTTGCACACTAACCACATATTTTCTCATATGTTTAGTCTGTAAACATTTTTCCAAACGTTATAAAATAAAGAAATATACTCGAAATCAAGATTTTCCTAGGAGAAATAAAATTGAAAGGAGGTAAAGTATAGCTGAAAGACACGTTTCTCATAAAGTTGTTGGCTTAAAGTAAAAAATGATCAAACTAAAATAATGATCTAGTTGAAAAATAATTGCACAAATAGATCAGCTAAATTTTCAACAATGAACAAATAATAATAATAAAAAATTTGGTAAAAGATTTTGATTGGAATTTTGGAAATAAATTTCAGAATTCAGTTTCTATATTTGTTTTCCCGGTGCAATGCGATAAATAAGTCATTTCATTTCCTAAATAATAATGTTTTTTGGTAACATTTCCTTAATAATAATTTTATAATAAAATTCTAAATCACAACCACTTATAATCCCCCTCAAATTCTTCCACACTAACTGCAGTCCTTCATTTTTCTCGATGCAGCTGAATCCAGGGACCGCACTATTCTTTCATCCGGTGACATTCTACACCAAGAGCACTCTTTCTGCTACATTTCGACCTAGTGCTTGGATGAAACAATAACTGTTTCAAATTCATGTCCTCAAACCAATTTTTTCCTTCTTTTTAACGTCAAAAACAGTTCTTAAAATTTTGTAAAAATAGTTTTAAAACAAAGGAACCAGACAAGCCCAAAGCGTTTTTGAGCCAAATTACATGGGTGGAGGGGGCGCGTTTTTGAGCTCCCACGGAATGAAAACGGGTAATTTAACCATATATATGCAATTTTGTTTCAAAAAAGGAATCTGCCATGATAGTAGTTAATCTTGAGGGTTTTCTTGCTTTAATTTCATTAACAAAAATGATATAAAATTCGAATGAACCTTCAGCAGACAAGTATCCCAGGATCGTCCTTGAATTATCGCTGCAAAAGCGGCAGGAATAACGGCTACCACAAATTAAGTTGGAGATAAATGACAAACCGAAAGCCGTCAATTATTTGAATATGATGATATGAATAGGAACTATTTGGCATGTTACCCTCCCTGACATGATTAGTCAAGTTGCTTCTTTCTGCTGCGACTGGTAGCGTTATGCTCAGTAAGCATTTTCAGAACGTTAACCAATGCTTGCAAACGGTCCCATATGCTGAGCCCGTATAGTGCTTCAACAAGCGACTCCTGAAACTCGAATCCATTTTCTGCGACAGGATACTAGAGCAGAGAAATAGCCCATCTCAGTATATTTCCACTTGTAGTGGAATAAAATAATATTAATTATTTCCAGACTGACCTGAATATGCTTCGGTATCTTTGTTTTGATGAATGGCCACCATCTATCTTCAACCACAGATTTTACAAGGCAACATGCTCGCAAGCCTTCAACACCACCAAATCGTCCAAATCCACTGTGTTTCACGCCCCCAAATGGCAGGGACTGGAAAATCAGAATGCAACGTTACTTCAGTGGAAATTAAAACTAATGAGGTAGGTAACCTAGGTTTAATTAGGAACATATCCAGGCAATTTGGCAAAAAGAACTGCATAATTATAAGGCAAAAAAACATAGATGAAATAATTCAATTCTTGCACAAAACATTCATATCTTTTTCTGATTGGCAATTAGACGTCACTTAGAAATTCTTTCCAAAATAAATATTTTATGGCAATGTAGATGTTAAAGTAATTTACAAACAGTAAAGAAATTGTGTTCTCTCATGCATAAGCTGCTAGTTTGTTCCATAGCCATTTTGCCGACCAACTTTCTAATGAGAAAGCCAGTACTCAGGTGCACCTAATAATATTTCAGAAGTCTATATGTGATCAATAGCATAGATCATATCACTTCTATTAGGTCCATTTCAGATGAACGCCCACCCTCCTGGTTTGAGAGGGGTAAAAATAGTAAATAAATTTACCTGACACATGTATGTTGCTGCAAAATCATTAACTGCGACAACCCCACAATGTATCTTGGAAGCTATCTCTCTAGCACGGCTCTGGCTGCCTGAGAAAACAGCAGAGCCAAGCCCATATTTTGAGTCATTTGCAAGCCTGACAGCCTCTTCATCAGAGCTAAATTTCATTATTGGCATGATTGGTCCAAATGCCTAGAAGTTATCAAAATAAACGGATGAATTTATTAAGCAGATTTTGAAGCATAAAAGATAGAAAGATATTATTGAATATAAATGCATAGTTGCAGTACATACACAATATGGTAGAGTTATCCAAATTTCTAGCCAAAATATGAACAGAAATTTTTTGGTTACATAGGTATGAACAACATGGCTGATCAGTGAAACACTTAACAACACCAAATGAAAAAATAAAAATAAAAATACACACACACACACACTGTCAATGTGCACAGCTGATAAAATAGCAAGTTTTTCTACCTCCTCTTGCATCAATCTCATTGAGTGATTGACATTCACAATCACCGTAGGGGGAAAATACTGATCAACTGCATCTTCACCTATATGTCCAAAACTTCCACGTGCAACAATTTCAGCTCCTTTGTCTAAAGCATCATTTATAATGCTCTCAAGGTTTTCAGAATGCTCATGCATACATAAAGCTCCCATATCATACTTTCCAGCAAGCGGGGGCCCCTGCAAGAAATCATTAACTGAAAGGCTTAAAAAAATATGGACTTCTTAATACTAGATAGTTCTGAGGCAGATTCCTGTCCTCCAATAAAAGTTCTTGATATTATAGCAGTTCCCAATCTTCAATGTTAATGCAATGCATGGGATTTATGTAAGTTCCTGACCCTTTTACCCTTTCACCTGTCCAAATGAATCATGAATCCAGATTTTCTGTGCTTTAATTTTTAACAAAAACTGTCATTTCCTAACAAAATTGAAGCATGCCATAAGTAATTTGCTAATTTCAACAAGCTAAATTGAGCAAATTCTATCAATTTTCCATTTGACCTGCAACTTACAGATCAATTTAAATAGATTCTGTTAGAATTATGGGGTTTTATGCATAGAAGACGAGAGATAAAAGAAAATGAAATACTAATTGGTACTAACTGAGTGTATTACGATGTATTGATGCTTTGATATATTCATAACACCTATAGCACTAGCATTCGTTTATACTAATCATAATCCTAACAAATTGAGGAAACAATTCCTAAGATTTGGAAATATGGTAACCAGTTCTAAGAGAAAATGAGGAAATAAGGAAACAAATCCAAGAAGATAATCTAAGATATTCTAATATATGATAAGACATGTTCATATATCCTATCAGTTTTAAAGATACAGAAACGCAAGTGAATCTGTGTGTCAAGACAGATAAGATATAATGCCAGTTGTATTAGTTGATGCAAATAAATTAACTCTGAAAAGCTTTATATAACTAATGCTTTCTCAAGGGGGAAAAAAAAGGCAACCAGAAGTTCAACAAAAATAGAGGACAAATCAACATATCATGATTCATATGAACATCTCACAGACTTTCACACACACTAGAACAGATGTAGCCAATGAAATGTCATTAAAAAAAGAAGAAACTTACAGCTGTAACAGATTTTATAATCTTGGTAACTTTACTGACAAAGACTGAATAAATGTTCCTGTGGACATAAAATCGTTCAGCACCAGCACAGTTCTGCCCACTTGACTGAAGAACAGCCCTGACAGCAATTTGAGCAACCTATATTCAGCAGATCAGTTCGCGTTACTTAAAACTATAGCACTAACAAATCAGTAGGTCATTAAGTTGTAAGGTTAACATTTCCCAGCCAAATGGTCAACAATAATACACCCATGCCTTTGTAAATCAGAAAATGTTGGAAGGGAAACATACATGGTCCACATCTACATCTTCGCAAACTATAAATGCATCTTTTCCACCAAGTTCAAGGGTAACTGGTATAAGTGTGTCAGCAGCATTTCTCATTATCTGTAAAGAATGCAGCATATCATCAGAGTGCTAAGACTTTTTATTACACTGAAAAGTGGATACAATCATTCCTCTTATGAGGCATAACTCCAAACTAGAGGTCTAGAGCAACTTTTTATGCTACCTTTTTTCTGTGGGTACACAACGAAGCAAAGCTTAAGCATATCCAAATACTACTTAGTTAAATATTGTACAATACGGAATTTCTTTATTAAGCATCTACCATGCATAACACATCCAGAAACATTGTTATTGTATAACACAATTCTGAGATGAGAGGATAGGATGGGCCAATTTGATAGGTCAAAGGAACCATACCATCTTACCAACCCCAGGGGATCCTACAAAAATGACTTTATCAACAGAAGATACCAGTGCTTCTCCTGTTTCAGCAAACCTAGTAAGAAAAGTCCAATTAAGGCCATAGATGCATATGTGACAGAGGAACAGAAGGAAAAAAGAAAGGATACAAAATAAGGCTATACCCTGTTATCACCTCAACAAGGTCCTCAGGAGCTCCTATGGCAGCAAGGGCTGATTGAATGATTCGGAAGTAAAAGCACCCAGACCAACTTGCATATTCCGATATCTGCAATCAGGATCACATGGATTTCTGTCAAATTGGAAAATGTAAATTTTATAGTAACTAGTAAGTGCAGGTATTACACCTTGCAGAGTCTCAATTTTAATAGGATGGAATATGCTTTTAGTCTTAGTATATATGGCTAAATTTTATATTTTTGTCTTCTATATTATTTTGTTGATTGTGATCCTCATAATTTTATTTTATTTTTTAAATGGTCCTTATATTGATAACGTGACAAGTATCTATACATGCCACTTCAGAATGGATATTGATGAGGTATTGCTAGATCTATGTCACATCACTACTAAGTGGGATAGGATTCATAGGAACCATTTCCAAAATTCTTTAAATTAGTAAGGACCAAAACCAGCAAAAAAGATTTTTAGAAGACCAAAAACAATATAACCATATTTACAAAAACTAAATATATTTAAGCCTATTTTTAATACATGGTTCTCCTGGAATATAATATAATCCCCATGCATAATAGTCAACAATCTCTATTCTTAAAAAGGTGTGATACATTCATGAGATGAACAATTTTAGATAGGCACATGGCAGATTTTATGTCACTTTATACCTTAATCACAATGCCATTTCCAGAAAAAACTGCTGCCAGCATAGGGTTAAAAATATTGTGGAAAGGATAGTTCCACGACACAATGGCACCAATAACACCAAGGGGATGAAATTCTACTCTGGCTCTCTTATGGAACATTGATCTTCCAGAGGATCTATAAATTTTTGATTTATAACAAAACAAAAAAGTGGTCATAAAAGTGCATTTAGATAACTTGCAATTTTACCATAAAAATGTCATTTAAGTACATTGAAAAGGCAAGCTTCTTTTTCTAAAATAATTTCTCTGTGAAATATATGCAAAATTTATAAATCTTTACAATTTCAGTCTATAAAACTAAAAAATCTTACATTAAAAATGTTAAAAAAAACAGAGGTAATCTATCACAGCCCTTTGAGCAAAGAAGAAGTGTCAATTGTAGGGTATAGGAAGGAAGGGGTTATACTAAACCCACTTACAAGACAGAAGATATGTATAGAACAAGTGTTTTAGCTCTAAATGGGAAAAAAAAAAGAGATTAAGGCAGGTACCGGTACTCAGGCTTTAGCCAATGCTCACCCTCTGACAGTAGCCAATTGATCTTCTCACATGTTGTCATTATTTCTCCTAATGAGGCATCTACCATTGTCTTTCCAGTATCACGCGAAGATATTCTGATAAGCACACATATCAGTATATACTCAAAAAAGTTGTTTATATTTTATGCACAAAACACACATATATTCCATCCTAAGGAATAAAACAATATGATAACTAAAAATAACAGATGGTTTCATGCTTCCTAGGGTATCACGAGCAACCATATGTAAGTTAAAAATAAAATACTAACACCTAATACTTAAATCTTCCTCCTATAACCTTGGAGAAGAAGTGCTCTTACTCGCACAAGTGCTTGATGTTTAAATTTCAGACAATTGAATAAAACAATATGACAACTAAAAACAAAAGATGATTGCATGCTTCCCAGGATATCACAAGAGCAACATTATGCAAGTTAAAAATAAAATATTAACACCTAACACTTAAATCTTCCTCCTGTGACCTTGGAGAATAAGTGCTCTTACTCGCATATAAGTGCTTGATGTTTAATTATATACTTCAAAAGTATACGTAAAAACTGGCGTCTTTGCCTGAAGCTGGTCTTTGCCCACATCTTTTGAGCCTTCCGTACTTTCTCCACTTGCTCCCTTACCTGTCCATACACGCAACATAGTTCTAGTTTATTCTAGGAATACTTCCACTTACAAATTTAGTCAAACTAGCAACCAATATTTTATGAACACTTTGCAATTACTTGCTTTTGCGCATCAGTATTCTACTTTTTGGCTTTAGGGTTTAGGGTTTATGAGTGCTACTAGTGATAAGATTCTACCTTATATACAAAATTAATACACACACACATATATATGTTGAGTGGCTTTTCACTCAAGCTATTTCATCATACTGATTTATTTCAACAATCACATGCCACTTACAAGTCACAACTTAATCTAAATGTATAAACTAACAACTACAACATAAAATATATATGTTGACAACACATAGGAAACCACAAAAAAAAAAAAAAAAAAAGAAGGAACATAGTGGTAAAGTGCAGAACAAAACAGAGGAACAGAAAAAAGAAAGTGGGGTAGCAAAACAGTAGATGGCTCTTGAACTTGAAGTTTGACACAGAAAATGCGAGAACCACGCACAAGTCACAATCTCAAAATTTCAATAGATCACCAATGAAAAATAAAAGCTAGGACTGCAAGTGTGAGAGATGATGATGAACACAGATTGACAGAGCTTAGATTAGAGAGAGCGGACAATGAGCTCAAATTAGCTTAAAAACCATTCACTTAAGTTACCAATCCCCAAGCTTAACCCCTCACAGGTGGCCAACTCAGGAAAATCACTAATTCCAGTATTTTTACAAGTTTTGCCACTGATCTCATGCAACCCGGCAGAAAATGATCTTTTATGTGCACGGAATTGGAAAGTAGCATAAACTCAAAAGATCGTCTAATGCAATTCTGACTAAATTGTGTGTGTGTGTTATATTATCAAACTTCAAATAAGGCAAACAGAAAAAAAATATATTTATGGGATCAAGCTGAAGCGACTCAAGAGCTAGGGTTGAGCCAAGAAAAGGAAATCAGTTTCATAACAAGCTAAGCCTGAGCATAAGGGTATTTTGTGTTTAGGAAGTTTGATATTTAGGAATAGGAAACTTGGAAATTTCCATGCCTAAGGAAAAATACCAGGACGTTTGGCTTGGCTAGCTTACATCCACCCATAACTGTCACTTTCTCCTCTACGTGGATCATTTGAAGTGCCATGAGGACCATTAACCAATCGGTGAAACAGGAGACAGGTAAAAAGTACACCTTCACATGCAAGAAAATAATACATGGATGAAAACCAAAAGGTCATCAAGATTAGGGAAGTGGAATTTCCATATTTAAGATCAATAAACATATAGCTTAAATAGAATCCATTTGAATTTGCATTTCAATATAGACAAGTATGCTAAATGCAAAATATGAAACATTAGCAACATTAGCATACAGGTTTAGCTAGAAGCTAAAGATATGTCAACTTGTCTTCAGCACAACGAGCACATTTCTGATGTGATTAGTTTATCACCAACGATGCCCTTGTAAATGTCATCTTTTTTTGTTTCTGGTATTTTTCTTTAGGCATGGAAATTTCCAAGTTTCTTATTCCTAAACATCAAACTTCCACACAAAAAACCTCCCCGGAAAAAAAGTCAAATACACAGTGTGCATCTTAAACTAACAGTTGTTTGCTAGCTAGCTTAGGGAACTAGATACTAAAAGTATGCATCATAACATTTAGTTCCCTTGGAAACATAGGCTCACAGACCTCATCCGGCGTCAATGCAGGAACATATCCCAAATATTTCATGGTAGCAGGCTCATAACACTGAACTTTCTTGCTTGATTGCTGCGCCGTTCCCCTTGGAGGCACCTGAATACGAATCATTCATCAATGAAACAGAATCAGCCATATTGTCCTAAAAAGGAGAAAAATAAAATTACAAATCAGTAACTCTAAAGTCATAACGTTCACTTAGGAAGTTAATTCTTACAGTACATCGATTCGGCATCACATGCATTTGCAGTTAAACTGAATTCCAATTTTGCGTTTCAAATAGAAAAGCAAATCACACCACCGTTCACGTAAAACGCAGGCGAAAGCAGAAAACCGAAAAAAACACGTCACTACACAGCAAATTAAAAAATCTAAATAGCAAATGCATAGCACTAACATATATGAAGCTATTCTCCTGCTCTTGGTTTCCAACGTCCAACACTGTGATTATAAAAAATCGGCGTCACATTTTCAGTGCGGCAATAAATTTACGTGCGGTAGAGAGTGAGTGAAAGAGAGTACCATCGGAAGCGTCAACATCGATGGAAGGAACCTTGGGAGGAATGAGAATGAGAAGGAACTTGCAGATGGCAAAAGCGATCGCTAGAACGATTAAGGGCCACCAAAATGCCATTGGAACTTCGTTGCAGATTGAGATTCAGATTGTGTCTCTCACTTCGAAGGAAACAGTCTCGCTAGGGTTATCTAGAAGCTTCCAGAGAGTTTTGTTTCTTCTTTTCAGGACAATGCTCGATGATGGTGAAAGAATCTAGGCAAGCTTTGAGGTGAAGCTTACACAGTACTGATACTGTGGGCAAAACAAGAGGTGAACTGAGGAATTGGGTTTCGCTTCAAAATTAGATTCAATGCTTCTTAAAGCGATAAAAGTTTTTCATGTTAAGTAGAGAAACAATTAAAAAAAATCCTGACTTAAAAAAATTGTGTGATAATTTATGAGCAAGAGTTAAGAGAGCTTTCTTCGAAAAATAATATATAAATTACTAAATTATTTTAACTTTATAGATACTTATTTATTGTTACCTTTACCATTATAGTTGTCTTTATTATTGTCATTATTATTTACATAAAGTTATTATCTCTTTTCTATTACTATTTTAGTTACATTCATTGTGAACTTTTGGTCCAATATTATTGTATGAACTTTATTTACCTTAAATAAAGTTTTAAAATTTAAATTTTATAAATAAAAAATAAGTATTACGAGATGAGTTTATTCAACTTGACTTGAATTAGTCCGGATTTCGTATGCTTTTTACATGCCAAAAATCTGAAAAAAAACTACATTAAATTTTGAATACCATTCCTAATATTATTGAGTAGTTATTAAATTAAAAACTTGTCACGCGTTTGCATGTGCATTCGCATATAAATTGAAATGAATTGTAACATATATGTCTGTGTAAGTATATGTGTATACTACTAACTAATAATAAATTCAATATATCAAAACTCAAATTTGACACCCTTACAAATAATTTTTTTAGTTCAAACTAAACTTTTTAGTTAGTGAGCTTAACTTATTTGAGTGTTAATATATCAAGTTGCGAATAACTTATTATCTCACTTTTAGCCTCAATGACTAATGTTTTCAAGATTTGAGGTAGACTTTTATTAGAATTTGGAAGGCCTAAATAATTGCACCTTCGATGTAAATTGTATGAGAGAGAGAGATAAATTCTTTCACTTATTAAGATAATTCATGTTCTTAAACAAGACAAGGTTACACCAACTTACTACAAACCACAACCATACATGACATGATCGAGTTATTGTTTTCACTCGTTATTTTAATTATGAATTTAAAGTTTAAGGATCAAGGATGGACCTACATATTGCCTCAAGAATTTTATTTTAATATTACATATTTGTGTATGTATCTTAAAAATTTTAGATCCGTAAAAGATTATGTAAATTACTCTTAAGTGAGTGAGCAGATGTAAGAAGCAGAATATATAGCGCGTAGCGCACTACACTGAGTAATGATTAACAAAAGGGTCATCTATAGGGACACAATGTCGACATATTAGACTCATAATCAGCAAAACCTTGGAACCTTTGATATAGTTGCTCTTGTTTAATCTAATTTTTGGATGTTTATGAAAAAAACTGTATTAAGTTTTATGGACATGCTTCGAGTACTTTTTTAGTTTTAAAAAAGATGGCTTAATGGTTATTCTTGCTCAATTCGGCTTTTGATCATGAACCCAAATGAATTATAGCACCGCCAGAGGCCAATGTAATGCCAATGATAGATGAATTTCCTCGCTGTAACCAAAAAAAATCTGCAATTTTTCTATTATACAATATAATAAAACCTTGTTACCCTTTTTCGTTTCCTTTCAATTTTGTTTTTTGTTTTGGAATTCTATACGTGCTTAAAAATATTCACACTTTCAGTGAAAAATGTTGCACAATGTTGCCATATCCCCTATACCTCTGTGCTCCCTATCATTATTTAACACTGTGAGTGATGGAGTGGAGCTGATATAAGAATGCATATGCGAGAGTCATAAGTCATATCGCACAACTTGGAAAAGAACCACAGGGTTATGAGCAGTGTTTCCATGTCATAGCGTTCCCAACCTGAATCCTATACAGCAAGTCCATTGTCAGTTAGTTACCTATTTATTTTTTCATTGCAAACCATATCTTTGAAGTAGAACAGTTATTATATATTGTCTTGTCTTTTTCTGAACTTCAGTAAGCAAGAAACGCTTCCTTAGCTATCCTTTGTCCTTTTGTCTTGTAGTGCCGCACTGTGGCATGCACTTGACCAATATTTTAAGAGGCAAAAACTGCAAATGGGTCTCTTACATCAAGTTGCACAAACTTGGAAGTGGCCACAAGCAATGGCTACCTCTAAATCCTAAACATAATATATAGTCCTGCATTGCACTATAAATTGTCATTGAAGGGTGTTCTCAAAAAACTGGAATCCACCAGTGAGGAGCAAATCCTTGTGTGTCTACCCTAGTGCAAATTAACTAATCATACAAGAATGGATACCCAGCACGAACTCATAATAGTAAAGGTATGTGAAATCTACGAAAAAATCTCCAAATTAGAAAAACTAAACCCCTCCAAACGTGTCAATGACCTCTTTACCAAACTTGTAACGCTTTGCACTTCCCCTTGTGAATTAGATGTTACTCAACTGAGCCAAGAAGTTAGAGAAACTACGGCTAAACTCATTAGACTTTGTGGGAAAGCCGAGGGACTTCTTGAAACCCATTACTCAACTCTCATAGGATCACATGAGAACCCCCTAAACCACATGAAACTCTTCCCTTACTACTCCAACTACCTCAAACTCACCCACTTGGAATTCACCATGCTCACCAAACACTGCACCCAAGTCCCCACCCAACTCGCCTTTGTTGGCTCTGGTCCTCTTCCTCTTACCACGATCATGTTGGCGACCCATTACCTTAAGCACACATGCTTTCACAACTACGACATGGATCCATTAGCAAATGCCAAAGCCTATGACTTGGTCTCATCAGATCCCGACTTGTCAAAAAGATTGTTCTTCCACACTAGTGATATTGTGAATGTGACAAGTGGTCTTAAGGAGTACAACGTTGTCTTTTTAGCAGCACTAGTGGGCATGGACAAAAAGGAGAAAGCAAAAGTGATCAATCACTTGGCTAAACACATGGGTCATGGAGCAATTCTGTTGCTGAGGAGTGCACATGGAGCACGAGCTTTCCTCTATCCTGTGGTTGATGTTTCTGATCTCAAAGGTTTTGATGTTCTGTCGGTTTTTCACCCAACTGATGAGGTCGTTAATTCAGTTATTGTTGCACGAAAGCGTTCGGTGAATCATGGGCTTTACCCACCAGTGCTGGCTAGCAAATGCTCTGAAGTTGAAGGATTTAACCCCTTAAATCATGGCAATGTTATTGAGGAGTTGACCGTTGACGAGCAGGCTTGATTCTTTTGCTTGTGTCATTAATTGCTTAAAACTTAATAGCAGTGTTTTAAATCAGAATCATATCATGTGATGAAATAGTGCAATGTCACTGTATTAGTTGTGATCATCAAACCCCAACTGTATCACCACAATATTATTGTTGCTGGATAATAAAGCGGTGTTGTTAACTTTTTAAGCTACACTTTATTAACAGATGAGGCTAGCATCATATTTTTAAATATATTTTTAATTATTAATGAATATTTATTAAAAATATAAAAGTATGAAAAAAAATAATTAACTTAAGAGTGGAAAATATTAAATTAAAAATGAGATTTATATATATATTTTACAATTTAATAAATTTTAATTAATAATTAAGAGTATATTAAAAAATGTGCGGTTAGAATTTTTCTTATAATTTTTTTATAAAAAAATTATTCATATTTATCTGTTTTTCAATCTAAAATAACGTTAATAACATCTTTAAGTTATGCTTTACTTTTATTTAATTTTTTCACATTCATCGTAGATAAAAGACAAATGATGATAAGAGTTATATTAAATAATTAGATTAATTTTAATATAAATAAAATATTAATTATACTTCTTAATTTATATACTTTCAAAATGAACATATAAGAGTAAATTTCAAAAAAAGGAAAGTGTCTTATATGTAAAATAAAGTGAAATAACTTTTATTTTGTTTAATTTTCGGTGAATATGTTTGGTATGTCTTTATGACAAGAAACATAAAATAAGTAAAAAAAAAAATAAAACATTAAATAATATTTGCTATATAAAACAGAAGAGAGAGGCAGAGATGCAAGAAGGAAGGTCGAATGAAAGAGAGACACGTAAGATAAGACGGTGGCAGGGCGTGTCAACCCGAGAGCCAAAGCTCGCGATTCCCGTCTCTTCTATTATTCCATTGCAAAATCAGTCATAACGACCGCGTTTTATTGATATTTCTGGTTGCGCACCGACAGAGACGGCGGTTTCTGTTCCATCGAAGTAGCAATGGCCGACAAGTACAACCTCAAGAACCCTGCCGTCAAGCGCATCCTTCAGGAGGTCAAGGAGATGCAATCTAACCCTTCCGATGATTTCATGAGCCTTCCTCTCGAGGTTTCCTTTTTCATTTTGTTAGATCTTATGATTTGTTATTTTTGTGCTTTGTTTTTCGAGCAATGAATAAGATCGTTATGTTGTATTTGTGGTTCAACGAGATTTGTCGCTGGAAATGGTTGTTTGAGCTTGTGGATGTTGCGGGGTTGCCAATTGGTGGGTGGATGTTTTGGGGGATTCCTCTATCATGTGTTTGGATGAAGCAATTTATAGTAATTTCGAAGAATTTCAAATACAAGGGGATTTCCTTACGGGATTGGGAATAATTTGTTGGTTATTCGTGAATTGAATCTGGTGGATGAATCCCAGTTATTGAGAAGTGGCAAAACATATTTAAGTGATGTTTGGATTTGTCATAGCCCGGCCTTTCAATTCATACACTATTCTGAATCAAATGCATGTTGTAAAATATTATCTTTGGTGTGTGTAATTATTATTATTATTATTAGTTAATTAACTATACATGATTGGTTTACCCAACTTGATAAGTGTACAAGCCTATTGTGTTCTCGCTTGATCTGTCCTTTATTTTACTTCTTCTTTATCTGTATGATAATTTGTAACTTGTTATTGATTTGAAACTGGGAATTTGTTTGTGGAGTATCGTTTTGTTTTTGCTGTCTATCTATCCTGAGAAATTTTGTTATCATGATTGTTTTCAGGAAAATATATTTGAGTGGCAATTTGCTATTAGAGGTCCTCGTGATACTGAATTTGAGGGTGGTATTTATCATGGACGAATCCAGTTGCCTGCAGAGTATCCATTCAAACCGCCTTCATTTATGTTGTTGACAGTAAGATGTTGCTCCCTCCTGACTGATCAGATTTCAGATTCTTATGTTAATCTGCATATCTTTTTGTGTGATTCTGATTCACGACATATTTTTTATGTTTGAACTCTGGAGAAAGCTGAACCTTACTTGCTTATAAATTTCACTGTTATGCTGTCAGCCTAATGGTCGTTTTGAGACCCAAACCAAGATTTGCTTGAGCATATCAAATCACCACCCTGAGCATTGGCAACCATCATGGAGTGGTAAATAACATTCCCTTCCGGTCTTGATGCAAGTTATATTTTTAGTTGCGCACGGATCAATTTTCTCATTGCGTGGACAATAAATAAATGTCATGCATTCCCCGTGTTGGATATACAAATGCATACAAGATTATAATTGTTTAATTGTTGTTTGCAATTATAAAACTGCCTGAGATATTTGATTGTGTCCTTTATAATTTCCCATTATTATTGTTTTCTAAGTTGGATTGCACTATACTTAGAGACATACATAGCTTCCTCTATATAGAAGTTGAAATTGTATTGATTCTCGTGTCTTAGATTGCCAGGTTGGGTTGTAATATCCCATACTTTTCCCATAGTAATATATAGGGATTACTGGACCAGAAAATACTGATCAAACTAAGTAGTAGCATTTTTAGTGTTAGTTACCAGTAAGTATCGGTTACTGTACATTATCAGTTAGTTACTTCCCCTATTGTTCTAGTACCTTCTATTAGCTATTACATAAACCTCTGTATTGCATTATCATAGAGAAGTACAACAGAGGTTTATAATAATAGCTTTGAGAAACTACTAGAACAAAAGGGGAAATAACTAACTGATAACTAAAGCAAACATTTTAATGTATTTGTAATTTCGTAGTACTAGACTGGGAATGTATCTCTGTTATTTTCATCGTGTATGGATGAGCCTTATATCCACCTTTGATGGCGAAAGATTCTATTTTAATGACTAAATTTCTTTTGGCAGTGAGGACTGCTTTAGTTGCGCTGATTGCATTCATGCCAACCAATCCAAATGGTGCGTTGGGATCGTTAGACTACAAGAAAGAAGAGAGGCGTTCCTTGGCCATTAAATCTCGTGAAGCACCACCAAGATTTGGGACTCCTGAACGGCAAAAGCTGATTGATGAGGTAAAATGTTGCTTATTGTTTTATCCTCAATTTGTGTTTTCTGTAATATATGATGCTGATGTACTTGGTTATCCCAGATACATGAGTACATGCTAAGCAAGGCGCCCCCTGTTCCTCAACTTAGCACAACACAGACGCCTGAAGAACACCCCAGAAATGGGGATGGAGAGGACCAGGTTGATTCACCCAATTCCGAGGCTTTACCTGCAGAAGAAGGGATTCCAGATCATGCTGGTGATGGAATTGTTGAAGAACAGGAAGTCCTTGCAAATGCTAATCCTGCAGGAGTTGAAGTTCCAAGGGAGACTCAATCAAGTGTTTCAAGGAATCAGCAAATTCCAAAGCCAGAGACGAGGGTCCAAAAACCTGATGATCGGTTGTTCACATTGGCAGCTATTGGACTTGCTATTGCAATTGTGGTCCTTTTGCTCAAGAAGTTCATTAAATCTACCGAACATAGTGCAGTTTTCTTAGATGGATCATAAAACGTTTCGATGCTCATGTTGGCATAAGATATTGAACTTCTCAGCCTTATGCAGTGAATTGAGTAAAAGCTCTTTAAACTGAAAGAGGTTTATTTTTAATTTTGTTGTCCTTTTATTATACTCTTTGTAATTATGGTAATATGAATGTGCACTTGCGATAAATTGGTGAGCGTAGCCTCTTATTCCTTTATCATGTGATATGAATTACTCTCCTTTCTAAATGCGATATGTCAACTGTCTTGATTTTTGTATTTTTACTTCTTTATAATAAGTTTAAAACTATATATTAAATAGAGGAAAGGGGTACTCTAGCACAAATACATAGAAGTTATAATGTTTAAAAAAGTAACCAGTTGTACACAAAAGCCTCACCAAATACACAATTATTATATTAAATGCATTCACTGCGTTGTGTCCACAAGTAGCAGTAGCAGTGTGTTAATCCAACAGCAAAAGACAATATTTCTTAGGATCGTTACTTTACTATTTTGAATCAGTTACTTCACGTACAGGCAATTTATTGAGTTAGTTGCCGTCAGGAAGTAAACGGATAAGAGAATATAGAATTATTAATCGTAATCTAATTTTGGAAAGAAAATGAAGAAAAGAGTTTAGAAGGTAAGAAAGGAGAGGAAAATGAAAGAAAATAAAAGAGAAAAAAGAATTAATTAAAATCTTGGAAGAACTTAAAATTAAATTTATAAAAATTTTAGAGAATTTATGAAACTTTCTTTTTCCGTTTAAAAACTCTCAAATAGAGATTATTATCAACTACGTTAATCTTAATAAAAAAAAGCATTTTTAGCTAAACAAATCGTTGAGAACACGCACTAGTGCATGTGATGCTTTGCATTATAATTCAAAAGGTATAAAAATTGTGTGAGTTGGACAAAAAAAAATTTATGCCAGGAACACCTATTAATTCAAACCATTCAAGACATGTAGACCAAATTTAATGTAAGTCACATTCAAACAAAATATGTGATGTACTTCCACAGATACTTAGTACTAGATACATGTTTCTTCATACTGGTGCAACATCTTTCTCTTTGTTAAGTTTCTTTTCAACCATGTCTTCCACACAATACCTTAAACCTTAATTGGCACATATTTTGACCAAAGATAATCATGAGAAAGATTGATGACAAAAGTTATAATTTATTATAATATTGAATGCTAATTCACAGTGAAATATCCCTCTGCATTAGCCTTTTAACACCATTTGTCTGCGTGTTGTACTTGTAATTTTCTCTTTAATTTTATAAGAGAAAGCTCACCCAACAATGAGATTAGTAAATCTATCTCCTATTGAAAAAAGTTTTTATGCAACTCCATTTTCAAACAAAACTTTCATCTCTCCATTTTACCATTTCAACAATACTTGAGTCTTTATGTTCCACAACACGGTATATTCTATCAATTACCCCAACATTTTTAGTACATTTATTAGAGAATCAATTTGATGAAATATTTACAATATTCTGTATGGATCTTAAATCTACCCACCATCTAGCCTCTTTCTCGCTTCTTACATTCATCTTAGAATTTCTTTCTCCGTATATTAATGTCAAAACTCTACACCATAAACTTGATTTCTCTACAATTAACCTCCAACTCCACTTTCCCAGCAAAGTCAAGTTAAAAGCTTGTAAAGCTCTTATCCCAAGTCCTCCATGTGCCTTTTCTCTACGTACATCTTTTCACATAACTCAACGTATTCTTTTTTTTTTTTTTTTTTATCATCGTTCCCGTTCATTCAATTGATAATTTTGAAGCAATGATTTAAGATGAGAAATGATGCCTTGTGGCGTTTCGAAGAAAGTATATTAAAATGGAATGCAAAGATTTGAAAACATAAGTTCAATAAAACGATAGCAACACTCCAAAGAGGAAATGACAAGAGGGATTTTCACACAAAAAAAAGAAGAAGTAAAACTCGTATTGTCAAAATTATTTTGCTTAGTTAAAAAACTTAAAGGGGAGAAAAGAAAAAAATAAAAGAACTAAAAATCTTTTCTTTTCTTTTTTTTTTTTTTGGTAAACTTGACTTATTTAAGATGAAAAAAATACATAAGATAAAATATATATATATATATATGTATGTATATATATATATATATATATATATATATATATATATATATATATGAGTGTTTCTCTTTCAACCATATACAGATTTAGAAACTAAATACGTACATATGGTTGCATTACTTCAATTACTCTTAATTTGAACAATTAAGGTTAATGGTTTTATTTGTATGGGGAACAATGAGTAAATTGTTTTATTTCATTTTGCTTGTTCTTGCAAATTAAATACAAGTCTTTTCCTTCAATTTTATTAAAATATCTCAATCTTTGAACCAAATATACAAATAGCTGAACTAGTCAACGAATTCTGCGATGGCACAGTAATTTTGATCCCAAACATAATTTAACCCTAGAAAGAAATTGATAGTTCACACGGTGATAGCATGATTTTGTGAATTCAAATTGCTCCAACATGTTCAAGGTCCAGCTAGCATGTTTATCACAGAAGTCATATAAAAGTTCCAACAGAAACTTTACAAGATTAATTCATGACAAACCCTTCCTGTCTAGTGAACAAAAAAATTGACGAAACTCCAACAAATTTATTTGATTATGAACATTTTTTTCAAATCAAAATACGAAATTAGATTCATCCGTAAATGCGAGATACAAATCCCTTGCCTAGTGCTCACGCTGAAATAACTCTTTCCTTATAAGGAAAGTTGAGGAAGACCTAATTTAGATAAAGGTTAATAAAATACACATTTTATTTTTTATAATTGATATTTATTTATAAATTAGTTTTTATATCTAAAAAATTTATGGTTTTAATTTCTATGATAATATCTTGTTATATTTTGGTTTGTTCTATTCTATTACATTTTTACACATTATAATTAACAAACAGGAAATCAAATCGCTGGTTAACTTGCTACCATGCTTAGATGAAAAGAGTACTCAGAAATTAACAAGGTTTATGAAAAGGAAAAGAAAACAATTGATACATACATTGCACAAATATACGCACATAGTTCATGTCCTCACCCAACTAAAATTTTCTGTACACATAAAATATTAATGACGAAACTAGGCCATACAACGTTTTACAAACACCCTCTAATAAGGAATCAAAGAAGCAATAGCAAGGCAATTACTAGCGGTAATGGTGACTAAACCTTCGGAATTAGCAACTGGTGAGGTGGATTTGAGATCCTCAAACCCACTCTCGCACGTGGAAACATCTGCCATAACAGCGCTAAGCATGACGGTAACGGTGCCAAGATCACGTGACGGAATGGCATCCATGGCTCTCTGAAGGTTTTCCATGGCGTCAGAGTACTGATTCCTGCAATCAGTGAGCAAAGAATCCAGCTCGGGTGAGCTACCAAAGTACTTCTTCACCTTGCTTATGGTGAACCTTATCTGGTGACCGCAAGCCTTTATGGAAGCTTCTAGAACGTTCATGACGTCGAAATGGTCGTTCAAAAAGGGTGTGATGGTGGAAAGACACACGTCAGGGTAGTCCGTGTGGGAACATATCTGTTTCACCGCTTGGTATTTGATCATTTTGGTTTTGGTTTGGGATTCTTCGGAGTTGACTTGTTCGGGCATTACGAGGGAGTTGCCACGTAGTACTGTTCCTTTGAGGATGTCTGAGAAAGCAGAAGAGAAGGAGGAAGGTGAATGAGCGAAGCCTTCCTCTGATGTTGGGTTGCTATTGGGTGTTTCTGAAGGAGGGAAGGGGAATGGAAGCTCTGAGTCTGAGAATTGTGGGGGAAAGGCTTCGTTTGGTAACAATGCGTTTTTGGTATCGTGGGCCGTGCATTTTCCTAGTGCAAAACAAACAAGGATTATGGAGAAGAGCGAGTGGGTGATGAAGGGGATTTGGATTTTGTTGTTGGGTTTCATTGTTTGTGTTTTTTGGAGGTTGGTGATGTGGGATTGTGGAGGGAGATTTAATCTGTGAGGGAAACTGAAGGTAGCTGAATTGTCCTTCAAAATAGGATGACATTGAGGAATGGTAACCATTGTTTATTCTGCTGTTTTAGCATTGTTTCTCGGAGTTCGGGGATGGCTATAATTTACCTGATTTTGAAACTACCATCTATTTCCCCTCCTCATAATAGACCATTGGTAGTGTCTTCTCAAAAGCTCTGTTGATGAAGAAACTTACCAGTTTGATTAAAGTTTCGTAAATAAATAAAAAGTACCTTCTATAACTTAATCCGTAACAGAACAATGGAGTGAAATGGAATAAAATGGGATCGTGCTTCATTATTTAACATAATATAAAATTTAATGAAATAGATAAAAAGTATTTATATTTTTCATTTTTTTTCAGTTTCTTTTAAGGGAATGTACTGGTATTAGTACTGACTTTTAAGTATAAAATATATATTATTTTATTTTATTTCTTATTTCATTCTATTTTTTTAATTTTATATTTAGTTTAATTGAATTCAACTCAGATTGTGTATTTGTATAGTAGATGAGTTTATCATTAATTTTTTTTTTTTACATATATAAACGGTCAAACTCAAAATTTTATTTAAATAATATCGAATTACTTGTCACTCAGACTAATTTCTATTAGTTTATTTTATTTTATTTTATTTTATATCATATTATTAATATTTATTTATTTACTTAATTTAATTTTACAAATAATATGAAAATAATCTCTGATCATTTAAAGCATACAAAATGGTCCGGTCCAAACTCACATAATAAAATTCAAAGTTTATATTTTAATTTTTGAGTTTGAATTAAATTTAAAATTTTCTTAACTTAGCTAATCAAGCCTAATACATGTTAAACTCGTAAAAAATTTAAAAATAAAAAATAAAAAATAAAATAAAAATTTATCCATTTTAAACACTTTTTTGCAAGCTAGAATTACATGAGGGTTTTTTTTAGCTCAGCCTACTACCTGTTATAAGTTAGTCTAAATAGGTTGAGTAACTCGTTTTGTGCTTTAATAATTATTGTTACTTTATTATCATCACTTTGTTTGAAGAAAGTTTCAGGTAGTCTTAGATAATATGATTTTAACCACTTATATCATATCATGATACATATTATTATTTTTGTAAATTATAAAATTTGTACACGCATCAGAACGTGACTATATGACCCTTTATCTTATAATTTTTTTTTCATTTGACATATGTTTGAGGTATGAAAATCTCTTATGTTCTATTCCTATCTCATATACAGTTCCATCAATTAAATTGAATTTTGAAGAAAAACAAACACACATTAATTTTTAAATTAAGAAAATTTATAATATTTGTAAAAGTAAACAAAACTAATCCATTAACTTTAAACTAATCTATTATTTTATTTTATATTTTAAAAAATTATAAAATTTAAAATAATTTGTTAAAAGAAAATTTTCTTCTCTCTTTTTCTCCGAAACTCAACTCCAAAAACAATGTGCAGTAAGCAAGTATGCTAATCATAGGTTACAAGTCAGTTGTTGCAAATTGTTTCTTAGATTATTATATTATATAGATATCTTCAAAAACTTGTTTGACCTTCTTTTTGCACCAAAAATCAACACCTGCGAATACGGGTAAAAACAACTAGAAAAGAAAATATCATGTTCATTGCTTCGCTTTTTTCAGTGATTCAACCCCCGGTAACACCCATCAGATTACACAACCTTGTACAGAAGTGTTTATCTTCAAATTCTTCACCACTTACCCGTAAATTAAAGGCTTGCATACCATATCGAAAATCATGTTTGTGCCTTACAATTGTAAATTGGTTATTCAAATTTAAGAATGATGTATATAGGTTACATGAAAGAAATGATAACCTAGCCGAAGCCACCTTAACGCACAACATAAATTAATGCTCCAAGCTCAAAGAATAAGATGATTGATTGAGAATGGTTTTGCTTCGTGCCTCTATAATCGTGCAGCATTTTATTAGCTTGCTACCATGATTGATTTGTATATTTTAACCCGCGGCAATTCAAGGAAGTATATTCAGTTATTCTTTTCATTATTTTGATATCCATCAATTTATTTAACTGTATAACAAAAAATAATAATAACAATTATACATGGTATTACATTATTATATGAAACGATAAAAAAATAAAATGATATTAAGAAAAAACAGAAACATCAAAAAAGATTTTATTAAATTTAAGAGAAGGATAAATGTAATTTATCTATAAGATTAGAGTGGATACAAGAGATTCTAAATAGATTTTATTCCCTAATCATCATTCATCAGCGTAAGAATGTGAACAATTTCGAAGTAGGCAAATGAGTGAATTCGTTGATGATATATATTACACACAAACTTATACGTTTAATATATTTCTACATCAAATTAGAAAATTAATTAATGGTCTGCTCTCTTCACCACAGTAACGGGACAACTGGCGTTATTCACCACGTAGTTGCTTACGCTACCCATTATGGCCCTGTAAAAAGAAGGGGAAAAAAATGAAATTCATTGAATTTTCAATAACTCAAGAATCAGAAATGACCAATGGGGACTTGGTTGAGTTCTAGCTACCTTCTAATGGTGCCAAGGCCTCTGTTCCCCATGGTAAGGCAATCCACAGGAATGTGATCAACTGCTTCGCATATCTTCTCACGAGCATCTCCCCAATAGATCTTCATTAGCACCATAATCTGCCACCCAAAAACCCCAAAAATTACTCCGATGAAGTATATAGCATGAACAATATTTTTTAATCTATGCTGCGCTGGTAAAAATTATCGTATGATCTACAACTCCCTAAACAAAGTAAGAATTTGGATCCTAATGTGATATGATCATGTTAAAAGAAAAAATATATAATTTTTACTAAACGAAGACCCATAAAATATAGATCATAAGTACTTGAAACTTAAACTTGACACTATAAATTAAATTTAAATCTGCAGAATAAATCATCCATACATTTTTTTGCTTTGCAGCGGTTGAGACAATATCAATTACTTCGGGATCAGGTTTCAGATCATATTTCTTCATGAGCGTAGGGTCAGAGAACTCGGCTAGGGGTATGAGAGCTGCATTTATATCAATACATTAATTAATTAATGACCAAACAAAGAAAATTTGGGCTTTAACAACAATCGGACACGGCCAAGCGATGTTTCATATCATATATATAAATAAATTGCCAAAAATCTCAAATATATTATATATCGAATCACCCCACAAATTTAATAGAATATTTGTTGTATTCACATAATTGTGGGGACGTGAATTGGAAAATATATGCAATGGTGAATCTAATTAAGGGAGGGATTAATGAGGAATACTAACGAGTGCCTGTACTTTCCCAGAGTTGTATCTCGCCGTGCTCGTAGCCTGAGGGGCGAATGATAATAAGAATGAGGTGATCTCCTTCTTTCACAAAGTTATCTACCGTCCATTGAAGTGCTGTGATGCTGCATGGTGAGAAATCCACTGCCACGCCCAATCTTCTAGTGCTTGCCATTTTTCTTGGGAATGAGACCTCTTTGCTTTTCAGTTTTCACTCTCTGTAGGTGTGAGTTTATTTGATTTGATTTGATTTTTGTGCGAATGTGAATGGAGATGAGAGGTTGATGATGACAAATACCGCAATGTCTGAGGCTGGCACTAAATGACAGCGACAATGGCGTTCAAGGTTGGTGGCTGAGATTCTCCCGCACATTTGACTTTTTATGAGGTTCGCCAAGGATGGTAATTATCTGTCTCCCACTGTTCCATGTAAATAAATAATCGGGGTAAATAATTCAGAGCTTCTTTCTTAATGATTTTAGAAAATAGATATTTTTAAAAAAAATGAGTTTTCTGAATGAAAATATTCACAACCAAAATTCTATATTCTATCTTCACACTCATATTTGAGTAAAGGAAGAAGAGAGAATATTATAATCCGGCCTTTTTATAAAGCAGCAGTGTATATTTGCACATATATTAAAAGTATTTTAACTTAATTTTAAGATCTAAAAATAATTTAAATTATAATTTTTAAGTGGAATTAAAAATTTTATAGCAAAAATTTTATTATAAATTTACTTTTAAACAATAATTTTGTTAATTTTTTATATTCTAATATAATAATTCTTATTTAAAAAAATTATTATTATTTGTCTAAACTATGAATTATTCACAAAGTAATTGTGTTTAAGATAAATAGAATCATTGTGGACGTCAGACCCTCCTTTTAAGTTCTAGTGTCGTTAAAGCAAATATATTAAATACTGAAACAATAAAAAAAATTGTTATCTATAATTAATCTACCTAATTCAAATAAGATTGTTTTATATAAAAAAAAGTTTATAGTTTTTTAAAAAATCTCAATATAAAAGATATCACTTGAAACTCATTTTTAAATAAAATTAATTTTATTACCTCGTGAAGATTTAAAAGTAACATAATATTTAACCTTAAGAAATTAGTTAAGTATAATAAGATAAAACATCGCATTTGTTACTTTATAGTTTTGAAACACACCCATTCTGCATGTTTTCTTAGAATAAGGTAAATTTAAGCAATTTAATAGTGTTTTTTAAGGTACTTTTCCTAAATGTGTGATCATTTCCCTAAATATCTTGTACAAAAAAAGTAGTATAATATTTTATTATATTTTTTTATTATTTTATTTTACCTTTTTATATTAGCTATATTAGATGTATATGCCATACCTTATATGTGTATAACTACTATTTTTCTTATTAAATTTATCTAAGTATCTTGATTCCGGACATTTTTACATCAGGCCCTACCTCGTGGTATTATTAATATTTTTTTCAATCACATGATCGATCTTCTCATTTCAATTATTCAGTCTCTTTGTTTCTTTATTAAATTGCTTTTATTTTTATATAATATTTATTGAATAGAAAGAAAAGAAAGCAAGGGTGTGTTTTGATAATATTACTTAAGAAACATTTTGTAAGTGTAAATATTACTTAGTGAATTATAAATTTGATAAATTTGCTTATCGTAGAACCCTTTTCATCATAATTAAAAGCTATTAGATTGTTTTTAAGCTTTTTATTATTTACGTTTAAACGGATTACATACAAGTTTACACAGTTGAAAATGCAACATAGAAACCTCAAAAAGATTGGGGGAATTCGTGATTATTTGCTGTCTATCAATGCAACTTGACTCTTCAACTAGAGGTGTATTGAGTTGATACAAGTATGATATAGAGCTATTTAGCTAGTTTCCCCTTATGAACATGACTCGATTGTTACCTTTGTCATGTCTTTCTTTGAACCATTTAGTCTCCCTAAAATTGAGGCCTTGTTGATGACCCAAGATAAAAGAATAGAAGATCATGGAATTCCCTTTTAATGCGAGCAATGCAAACAACTTTGCTTGAGGTAAGATTAGAAGATAATGAATTTTAAGTTTCAGTGATTTAAAACAGAGAAAGAGACATACTAAACATACATGCATGTTTGTGAAAAATATATAATTTTTCTTATTATAATTTTAATCATCAAATCATTTTCATTTTTTTCCTCATCAAAATTACAATACATATGTTCTATCTTACTTTTACTCAAACAAAACAAAACTAATTCTAACATCCCTAAATGATGTTTGTTTCTTATTTAACTTTGTCCGAGATGAAGATTTGACTAATTCTTCTCATGTAATTGGCATATAATGTTCAGAAACTATCTTTCATCGATGGTTGCCTTCAAGGATACCTATCAGGCAGATTATACGTTTTCTCGAATAATTTTAGAGAACGGAGCTTATCCATAAGTTGTTTGCAAATCTTTCTTATTCTTAATTCATTTTTCTATGATCACTTCTTAGAAGCTAGATAAGAGTATGAAGAGACAGTTTTTCGACTTTTAGCTCCGAACTGATCCTTGAAATAATCAAATTTATTGATTTATTTATATATTAATTTAACATCACACGGACACGGAGTTGCCATGATTGAATAAAAAGCAGCATTTCTGTTGTCAGAACACAACTTTGAGAGCTGCTTCTTTGTTGAATACTTGATCCTGGACTATATTTTACTTCCTTTTGTCGTTTTTCATTTGCATTTTTCTTGTACAATAATCCTTATTTATTATATTTACTTAGTGAAATATTTGAATTTTTTGGCTGAAAGTAAATAAAAATTAAATCCATTTATAACATGTTTTTTAGTTTGTCTTCTCTGTCTACATACTCCATCTTTGTTTAAACTTTGCTGGCTTCTGTCTCCTGTCTCCTGTCTCCTGGACCGAATTTCTTAGGAATTTCAGCAAAATAAGAGCATGCATTTTTGTCTCAACCACCAAAAGAAATGTAAAAGTAAAAATAAAATCATGCAATTTATTGAATTATAATAAATTTCGCTGGCTTTCTGTATGCAGGCCTCCTTGATCACATCGGCACATCATGAATGAGTTGATGACAACATCAATGTTAACTGTACTAGATGGATCTAGTATGAGAACTAGTCAAATTTACATTAAAATAATCATAGTAAAAAAAAATCAAAGTGTGAGGGGTACTAATAATCTTGTTGCCTTTGTTCTAAAGAGAATTAATTACTTGATTGAAGAAACATATTTGAAACTGATCAAACCAAAAACAAAGTTTAAAGTTTGTTTCAATTTAAGATGGAAGACTCGTATCATTTCAGTGAGTTCAGTTTCAATGCTATTGAAGACAATTCGAGTTCATCCAACGATATATTCTGGGCTACTGAGGGACTAAATGAAGTGAAAATGGTTAAATTTTCAGGAGCAGAACATTGGGGAGAATCAAGGGGAATTGACTCACTTTGTTCTAATTTTGGGTTCTTCCCAGATGGTCCATCAGAAGAAGGGTACCTTCTATCCACTAATGAACAAAATTATCATCTTCAACCATCATATCATGATTATTCTCAATTTGATAACCTACACTTTGACATGGTATCTTCACCACTCCAATTTCATAAACAATATCAACCCATGGCTTCACTTTGTCACCCAAAAAAGGAAAAGCCACACTCAACTACTTCTTTAGCTTCACTAGAGATTTTGAAGAACTATGGAAAGGGCTTCAGGAGGTTATGTAATGAAGGGAAGAAAACCCTTCAGCCAGTTGATGGTTTGGTTGCAGTCACAAATGAGAAAAAGCTCTCAACTGAAGACGTTATGAAGGTAGCTGGAACAAGGTTCATTCAATCTTCATCTTCAGAGTCACAAGAAGGTTTTAAATTCTTGGACACTCACCCTTTTGGTTTTTCTTTCTCTGGTCTCTCTGATGAAGAGAAAGAGGATGTGGCACTTGCTGAGTCCCTCTTGGCTTCTGCTGAGAAAGTTGGGTATCAACAATTTGAGCGTGCTAGCAAATTGCTGAGTCATTGTGAATCATTGGCTTCCAAGACTGGGAACCCTGTTAAGCGTGTGGTTCATTATTTTGCTGAAGCACTTCGCCAGAGAATAGATAGAGAAACAGGAAGAGTTTCATCGAAAGATTTACAAAAACTTGAGTTATTTGATCCTGAAAAGGCAGCTAAGGAACTAAACCCAACTATTGTTGCATTTTATGAAGATCTTCCTTTTTGTCAAATTGCAGTGTTCACTTCAATCCAAGCTATAATAGACAATGTAGCTGATGCAAAAAAGATTCATGTTATTGATCTTGAAATCAGAAAGGGTGGCCAATGGACAATCCTAATGAAAGCCCTTGAGTCAAGACATGAATGTCCAATTGAGCTTCTAAAGATAACAGCTGTTGAAAGTGGAACCACTTCAAAACATATAGTTGAGGACACTGGTAAGAGATTGAAGGATTTTGCACAATGCTTGAACATACCCTTCTATTTCAATGTAGTTATGGTACCAGACATGTTGCATCTTAAAGAAGAGCAGTTTGACATAGATCCTGAGGAAACAATTGCAGTTTACTCTCAGTGTGCACTTAGAATCAATATTCAACATTCAAAGCAGCTTGAAACCCTCATGAGGGTGATTAGAACCATAAATCCTAATGTGATGGTGGTAATTGAAATTGAAGCAAACCACAATTCTACATCTTTTGTGAACCGTTTCATTGAGGCCCTTTTCTTCTTTAGTGCATTTTTTGATTGTCTTGAGACTTGTATGAAAGGGGATGAGAAAAACCGAATGATTATGGAGTCAATGTACTTCAATCATGGAATCAGGAATATTGTGGCCGAAGAAGGAGAAGAAAGAAAGACCAGAAATGTGAAGGTTGATGTGTGGAGGGCCTTTTTCTCACGCTATGGAATGGTGGAGACAGAGTTGAGCTCTTTATCTTTATACCAAGCAGATTTGGTTGCTAAAAGATTTCCCTGTGCAAGGTTTTGCACACTCAATATGAATGGGCGTTGCCTTCTTATTGGATGGAAAGGAACACCAATTAGCTCTGTCTCTGTTTGGAAATTCCTTTGAGGACAACTACAAGATTTTTGTTTCATATTGTCCCTTGTCAATGTCACTATATCATCCCATGTGCAGTGTTATCATTACTAGTTTTCTTGGCAAACTTATGGAATGGTTAGATTCAGTTTAAATGTTTATGAATCTAAGTTTATTTCAACCTTGTTTGTTATAGTTTACGCATTGAATTTACCTTTATAGTTCTTCCATCGTGAATTCCAACACACTTGTCTTGGAACTCAGTTTAAGTTACAGCCCTGTTTAGTTAATGGTGTTCACGTGTGTTTACTACAAAGTATAAAAGCCGTTTGTGGGGTGTTTTGATATATTAATAATGAAGTATAAGATTTCTGGTTTATTTTGTTGATTTAGATTACTGTAAATTTTGCTCTAGAGCATCCTCAACTGTCTAATTCATTGGAGTTGAATAGATATGTTGTTTATAATTTTTATATGATTTTATCATGATATTTATTTTTTTGTAATCTATACAATTTAGGCTTTGTAAAAGTTGTCATGTTGAATTAATAGAATTAAGAATTTAAAATATAGGTTTAAATAAAATATTGTTTTCTATAAATTTCAATTGTTAAAGTCTTGGTTTCGTATAATCTTTTGCCTTCAATATGTTTCAGTATTTTATGTACATCTATATTCTTTTCCATGTTTCAGTTATTTTCTATATTTTGTATCCTTATGTTTCAGTATTGCAACTCATTTTTCACTGATTTCGACTCTAATTTACATTCATCAAATTGTATCTGTTTCTGAAAGATTAAAAAATACAGGAATGGTTACTTAAAGAAATTTTTTTAGAAATAAGACTAAGTTAAATATATATTATAATAAACATTACAAAAAAAATATATTTAAACTTCAAATTCTTTTATACACGTAAATCTAAGATTTTCAAGACATTTAAACCTAAAATATAATGCATAAATTGTTCAAAACAAATATATTTAGATTAAGCTTAATTATTCTTTTAGTTTTTTATATTTAAATGGAAACAAGAGTTTAGTTTCTCTAATTTTGATAATCATACTTAATTATTTAAATTAAATATTTTATTTTAAAAACTCATCCAATAATTTAAAAAATATAAATATGTGACGTACTCTTGATTTGTATAAATTGGTGTGAAATTTTATAAAATATTATAAAGCAATTTAAATTTTTATTTATAAATTTGTGTAAAATAATAATATATTATACTTTTATTAAAAATTAAATGAAAAATTTAGAATAAATAATTAAAAACAACAAATATTTAAAAAAAATGAAAGAAATTAAAATTACCTAGTACAGAAAATAAAACCTTTAGAATATGTAAGGGTTAAATAAAATTGCGAACACCATTGAAAGTGGCTGTAGTTTAGTGGTAAGAATTCCACGTTGTGGCCGTGGAGACCTGGGCTCGAATCCCAGCAGCCACATTTTTATCCATCTTTTTTAAATAAATTAGTAAAATTGTATGAGTTTACACAATGATTCTCTTCCTCGTTTTTTAATTAATAACAAATAAATATTTAATTATTTGATTGATAATAAATATCTAATTAGTTAACTAAATAGTTTATAATAAATAAACAATAACAATAATATTTAATATAATATTACATATCATTTTTAATTATTTCACATATTTTAGTTGATTATATAACTAGTTTTTTTTACAAAAAGTTCTAATTAATTAACCACTTATAAATTATAAAATTTCAATTAATTTATCAGTTACGTTTTACAAATTGGAAGCTTTTAATTAATTTTATTAAATAAAATCTTATTCAATTTTTAATTGGATCAACCTCCTGATAAACCAAGCTAAGTAAATAATTGGATAAGTATTCTTTTTATTTTCAAATATGTTATATTTACATTTATATTTACTTTTTTAAATGTCAATCAATATTACATTAAAAATTAGTTATGTATGTTAAGATTAATTAAAATTAATTATAACTTTTATTAATTTAAATTAATAAAAATTATATTATTAAAAAATTATAAAAAATAAACATATTTATTATCTTAAAATTATAAAAATATTCAATACATATTGTTTATAATAATTTAAAATATTGAATTATATATTTAATAATTTTTAACATATGTTCTGTATAGAAAATGTATTGATAAGTTTTTTTATACAAGAATAAGAGGTATATATATATATATATATATATATATATATATATAATTACTTATTTCAATGATATAATTTTGTTTGAGTCAAGTAAAATTATTATGAACAATAATTTTTAAATATTTAATATAATTATATTCACTGTGTTATATAATCACTTAAAAAGATATATATCTTTTTTAAAATTTTAAAATATTTATATATTTTATTTTCTTAATCATTAATAATAAAATTTAATATTTAAAATTTATTCATCTTTCTTTAAATAATAATAATAAAAACTTCTTCCGCCGTATATATGCCGTGTTACGTACCCGTTAAAAAGAAATTTGATCCTTCAACAATGGTATCTGAATCCGTTTTGGTCAACAAGTTTACTTACTTTACCTTCAATTAACGCACCGACCAAATGGACTTGATTGGCCCGAATCAATGCCTTTAGTTACTTGTTAAAGTTTTTAATTGCTTTTCTTGAAAGAAAATAATTTGTTAATTGCTATGTAAAACAATAAGTTATTACTCCCTAAAATTTTACAAACTTTAAATATTAATAAAATATAAATTTAATTTAAATACACTGTCTCTTAGATATTAAAATATAATTGTAATCCGTAATGCCTTAGGTGTAGAAATAAGAAACACGTATTAAGATTAAAAAATTCACTAATCATTTAATTATTGATCTCTATCTTAAGTAATCACACAATTAAGGCATTAACTTTATATATATTTAAGTAAATTCTCCAATTTTTCAATTGTAGAACTTCTACAATTCATTAAATTAAATGTAGAAGAAGTGATTACAGCTTGAATGAGAAATCATCATTTCTTAACCTAAGAAATCTAGTAATTGATTAAAAAAATAATAAAAATATAGATAATCTCAATATGAAACTCTATTGATCCTCAAGTCTTACTCCGACAACGTATAGATATTTAAAAGCATTCCAGAGAAAAATAATTGCATTTTTGCTTAAAAAAGTAACCAAAATCTCCAACTAAACACCCTTAACTATTTTTATTATTTTTGTATAAGTCAATTTGGCCTCACTTCATGTTCTAGCGTGATCTTACTCTAGAATTTTTTTTAGAAATTAACTATTTATTATTAGTGAATGAAGTCTTGCTTCAATTCTGCATGAAGTCTTATTCAGAGTTCTCTATTATTATTAGAAAGTGAGGCCTTGCTTAAATTTTATACGAGATCATTCTACGGTTCATATGAAATCTTGTTTGTGAGTTTTTCTTGAAACTCTGCCTTCCTTCAATCATATGATTTAAATTATGCTATATAAACTTCTAGAAGAAGTAAAAAAAATTAACACAAAAATTACTTTAAACCAAACTAACATCAAACATAATAACTTTTAAACAACTTAAAATTAAACTGTTTTAACAAGTAAAATGAAGCAAAACATTGTATTCTAACGTAAAATAACATAAGTGGATTTATCAAGTATAAGATGGTTGTGAAAAGAGATAAATAAATAACGAAGAAAAAAAATAAAGAAAAGAGTGATGACAAATATGACAAAAAAAGATATAGAAGTAAAAAAGGAAACGAAAGTAAAATTATTTAATAATACGCTGTACAAATTAATAATCATGATAGGTTAATTACTCCATTACACCAAATACCACGCATTCTATATTTCTCTTCCTTAAGTATTTATAAGTTCTATTTTTTTCACATAAATTTTTTTAATATACTTTTTTCTATAATTACTAAAACACAACTTTTTTTTCTCAAGTAATTAATTTTGAATTTAATAATGAGTATAAAATAATATCAAAATTTCCCTTAAAAGAAAAAAGTTTTTCTTTAGACTAGGAGAAACTTTTGTATAGTCAAAGATTATAGTAGTTTTCACCGATAACATTTAACATGTATTAAAATTATTTACTTGTCTGATTAATTGAGACTATCATGTTTCCGATCATAAAAGAAATCCTCCTAGATTAGAGAGTGTTTTATTCTATCTTTGCTTATAGTCTTTGATTCGAGTCCGAGAAACTCCTGACGTGTTCAATTGTCCAAATCGTTTTATTTCACCATTCATTACAAGCTAACCATACCCCATGAGTTGTCACAATATCCATCATGAATCCAAAACGGATTTTAACAAACTGAGAAATGATTTTATAATCAGAACCAAATAAAGATTTCTTTCACACCATGAACTGTAAATATCTCAAGAGAAAGAGATAGATAAGAAAAAGAAAAATAGAATAATAAATATATGATTGGTTCGAGAAAAAGAAGTAATAAAACAAAAGAATAAAGTGAGTATTAATTTGGAATTGTCAAAATATCAAGGTTGATGAAAGAATATGACTTTATTTTGAGAGAATATTTGCAAAGTCGAGGCTTCCCTCTTAAGTTTGCATTATTCATAGAAATATTATTCTTCAAAGCATGTATAAAAGGAGGTTTTGATATGCTAGCTAAATGGCATCAATCTGAGTGAGAACGAGGCAGAGAAACTACTCATATAATATACATATATAGTGCACCATATTTACGCCATGGCTGAACTTCAAAAGAGAATGGAAGAATCCAAGGGCTTGGGTTTTGTTGGTGGTGAAACTCAAAAACCTCAACCAAATATGCCTTCTAGTTCCTTCCCAATTCCTTTACCAGGAAGGAATCGCCAAGCAAATAGATACTACCCATGGAATTGGAAGGAAAGGACAGTAAAACAAGCCGCAGGCAACACTAACGGGGCAAATGAGAAACCAACTTTGATGACTTAAAGGTATTTTATATATGTAAATATGCCACTCGAGGAGTTATACTATCTATGAAGATGTGAAACATATAACTATAATCGTTGTTGTTCTCTAGTGGATGGTGACATAGTTCGAG